GGTGTCAAATTCCCCTGTCTCTCTCGCCATAAGCTTTTGCATGGTCTTGATGGTCACTGTGCAAATAAAGTACAGCTTAAATTTGCTGTTTGTGCTAGAAAGTTTCTTCTCCATGGAAAGCAGCTAGGTCTTAATATATGTAATAAAAAATAGTCTTACTAAAATAATAACAACAACACATCTCTGGGGGGAAGCATTCAGCCTCATTCCTTCCAAACTGGGTTTCTGCCCCTGAAATGGGTAGTCATGGTTAAATCACAGAACCCTGCCTTCTTTCCTCAATCTCTGAACCGTCTTCTCTTGAGCACGGTCTCACTCCCTGGCTAGAACGTCAGCTCCCTATGGGTAGGGATTTCATCGTCTTATTAATGTCTGTATCTACAGTGTCTATAAAAGTGCTTTACTGGTTGGCACCCAGTAAATATTTGTTGAAAGAAGAAAGAAGGGAGGAAGGGAAGGAGGGAGGGAGGGAAGAAGGAAGAAAGGAAGTGAGGCAGGAAGAAAGGGAGCAGGTCTCTTCACTCCTTAGCAAGGTTAACTACTCCCTCCTTCTTGGTGGTGCTGATGGGAAGGAGGCGGTAGCTTTGAGAATAGCTTAGATTTGACAAGATTCCTCAACCTCAGCACTATTGACATTTGGGACCAGAAAATCCTTTGTTCGCTAGTCCTGTGCATTGTAAGATGATTAGCCAGATTCTGGCCTCTACCCATTTGATGTCTGTAGCATTGACACCCCCCTCCTCCGCCCATCTCCCCACTCCCTGCTTCTATGTTGGCAACCAAAAAGTGTCTCTAGGCATCGCCAAATGTCCCAGGGCTGGGGCTGGGGGTGAGGAGGTGAGAGGTGGGGGAAAAATTGGCCAATGTTGAGAAACACTGGATTAAAAGATAATCTAATGACTGGCTACTAACTAGGTAAGGAGAAATTAAAGCCCAGGGCTTAAACAGAAATGGAGGACATGTCAGGCTTTTGGGGGTACTCAAAGCCATTGTATACAACATGGAAAGACCCACGATCTTGGGATCTGGGATGGTTCCAAATTCCGGAAGCAACAGAACATTCGTCAACATGATGACTCAGGAAATGAGTGTTCTCATGGTCTGCCTGTCCTTCCAGGTAAGAATGTAAGAAATTCAATAAGAAAATTGATCTGTCCGCATATGGTGAAAGAGAATCTAATGAGCAACAAGCTAGGCAGATTCAAAGGCCTCAATTATTCTCCCTAATACCGGCACAGCCATTTTTGAACACAATTACAGACTTGAAACCACACAGGAGAATTCATTTAAACATTTACTTGATGTGAAACCTCTGACCCAAGCAATTCATAGAGCAATTAAAGACGTAGGGTCTGGAAGACTTGACGGTAATGTAGTTTTGGGTTTTGTTGCCAAATGGTCAGTACAAGTAATAATTAGTGGCATCTTAAATTAGATTGGAATGGGAATAAGAATCAAGAAGGATCCCATAGGACTCGGTACAGGAAACCATATTATCTAATATATGGTGCTCATTAACAATCCGGAGGAGAAAGTAAATTCGACTTAGATTAAATTTGCAGAAAATGCAAAATGAGTGAGAAATGGCAAATACAGAAGATAAATTAAAGTTGAAATTACCAAAGGACCTGGACATTTTAGAACCTTAGTCAGAGCTAAATAAGATGAAATTTAATGAGAAAGAGGAAACTATTACGTGGTTGGGTTTGATTACACTTGACGTCCCAGTAATCTGATAGCACTGGGAGAGATTGGGGTGGTGGTAGATGAGCTGTACCTTACCACTTCCTGCTACAAAATCTCCATAAAACACAAGATGCTACGTTATCAGGCCAACCTTCCAAGGAGAAGTGGGTACTGGGTAGGCGCCTAAATGTATCTACAACAGCCTTCTCTCTTCCCTGCAATCAATCACCCGGATTCTTATAGTGCCATGATCTGAACAGCTGATGTGCTCTGGCTAAAGTGTGAACCTCCTCCTGTTCACTTTCAGTTGACTGTTCCTCGGGGAGGTAAATCACAAATCTGTAGGAACAGTTTCTGGGAAGCTCTCCCTCTGCAGGACTCGACACCCATGGAGGAGTCCAACATTCCCAGGATGCTGTGCTGTGAGGCTCGGCGTGTGTACTTGACCCACCAGCCGCCCTTGTTTCTGCTGTAATGCAATCTACCCGTCTGAATACCTGGGTGCCACAGTGCTAGGCGCCAACGTGAAGGACCATGAGAGAGATGGATAGATGTACAGTATTTTGATTTGATAAGGCAAATCAGATTAAACTAATGGTATTTCAGAGATTTCTTTTTTGAATAAATTTTTTTCTTAGGAACCCACTACTAAAGTCGGTTGCAGCTTGGCCTGGCTAGAGTTGAGAGACCATTGCCAGGAGACGTCAACTGGCGGGAATGGAGGTGGGGGTGATGATTCGGAGATAATCATGGTTACATTTGTGCAGTCAGCTCTTCACATAGAATCCATACAGTGGTTTCACATTCATGGTCTTTTTTATTTTTGTCCTTATAAATATCCCAGGAAAGAGGCAGGATAAGGAGGCCAGCCTCTGTGGACAGGTCCTTAGAAGAAAGAACCAGAGTTCCTCAGGCCCAGAACCCAGCAGCCCCATCACCTGCCCTGCCCGGCCCTCCTGCTGCCGCAGTGCTCACCTGGATGCTACCTGAGGGGTGGGGATAACATCGGAAGCCTCCCGGCCTTCCAGGCAGGTTTGACCTGGTGCAGGTGGCGGCCAGTACAGTGGCATAGGCATATAACTGTGGAAAGTTCTAGAAAATAGTGCCCCTTGCTCACCAGATCCCTTGACTGAAGTTCAGCTCCCTCTGGGGGTGATCCAAGGAAGTGATTCCTTTGTGGTCAGACTCAGCACCCATCTCTCACTTTCTCCACTTTGAAGGGGACACAGTTACAGTGGAGGATGTTCAGACCAGTCAGCATGGGGAGGGAAGTAGCAATCACTGCATTTGAGGAACTATGGAGAAAATTCAGGGTGGCATGATGGTCTGTAAACACTTGAGGGAGAATCAGAAGGACCAGGCAGGGCAGAATAGGATCACACGTTGTGGGGAAGCTAGAGAGAGATGTTTAGGTTCAAAGTAAGGAAGAGTTTTAGAACATGAGTGTTCTCTAAAGATGAGAAGGAGTGAGTTCCCCAGCACTGGAGATATTCAAGGTGGACACAAGGAAAACTGGGCAAGGAGGTAGCTAAGGAGGATGAGCAGTTAGATTAGACCAGGGGTTCCTACATGGGGTGATTCCTCCACACCAAGAGGATATTAGCAATGTCTGCAGACATCTGAGTGGTCACAACTGAGGGAGGGGGGCTATTAGCATCTACTGGGGAGAGGCCTGGGATGCTGCCAAACATCTTGCAAGGCCCAGGACAGACCCCACACCAAAGAATTATCCAGCCTCCAAATATAAACAGTGAGGAGGTTAGAACACCCTGGAGAAGGTAAACTGTGAGTCTGGAGTTGGGTAATCACCCTTCAATCTGTCCAGTAATTGAAAAGACCACGGAAGGTAATTGATGAAATGCCAGGAATATCCAGGTCCCAAGGAGGATCGTGCAGTAGGCTATTCAAGTGCACACATCTCAGAAATATTTTTCAGTTTCAGACATCGTGAGCTATATTTTGAGACTCTGGGTATCCCTACTATAGCCCAAACTATGAGGCTGTTATTCTCCAAAAAGCAAATATATGGGTTCCCACCACTTCCACCTACTTCCACATGGAAGTTGGCAGCAAGTGCACAAATCTAGAGGCTGGGTTGGGTGAAGAGTGGGAGGAGAATAGTTGAAAACATGCAGAGGAATCCACAGTGAGATCTCACCCAAAGGCCTCTAAAAATTATCCCTGATTCTTTTAAATATACTTTTCATGCCTTCTGGGTGATGAAATGCACCAACCCCTAGAAAGTTCCTGGAACTACAAAGAACTTCATTTTCTCCAGATTTGCCACACCCAGAGCCCAAGAATCAGATGGATCCGAGGGCATCTCTGGGCTCTGCCTATTCCTATCTGGGCATCGGGTGAGCTTTCCAACCTTTCGGAGCCCCAGTTTTCTCTTTATAGAATGGGACGAATTACATCTTCATAGGGAAGCTGTGAGGAGTACACGAGCAAATGTGGGTTCAACCATGTGCCATGCCTAGTGCATAATAGATGCTTAGTAAGTGGCAGCTAGCATTTGTATGATTATCCTCAAAAAGCATGTGGCATTAGGGTAGGCACTGATCAATAAAATTATGCCGTCTTCAAACTCACAATCTAAGACAAAAATTAGCTTGCCTTCATTATAGCTCTCTATTCTTATTCATTAGAATAAAAAGTAGCTCGTAGATGCTGAGTGACTGGCCTGAGGTCACAGAGTAGCACCTCGTGGCAGAAGCAGGATTAGAACCACACATGTGCAGGACACCACTGCCTACCCGTCGTCTCCCCCCACCCCAATTGCCCTTCTCAGCCTGCTTCTTTGCCCTGGCCTGGACCTGGGGCCTCTCACTGCAGCAAGACCTGCCCTTAAAGCTCCCCAGGCACCAGCATATAAATGACCAGTTACAGCAAAAACGACTCCCAACCTGGGATCCCTTTCAGGCAATGATAGAGATGTGCGAATTATTTTCCACATGTTAAAAAGCCACCCTGAAAACATACATGTACTCTTGATGAAGCCTGAAAAAATGAACTAAAATGCAATGTTTCATGGATTTAAGCTGCAATTATGTAAATCAACTCTCTGTGGTAATACTGGTTATTTCAACCTAAGTAGAAACTGAAGGATGTTTTCTTATGTCTTTGATGAACAAAAATGGGAAATCTAAACAGTATGGCCTGCTTCACAGTAAAAAAATCCATCCTCTAACCAAGTCACCCAAATCTCTATATATAAAACCCTAATATGCAAATAGACTGAACAACGGAACAACCGAACAACCTAACAACCGGTTGCTTTGATGTGCGATGACCACCGGGGGTGCACGCGGAACATGTGGCGGGTTGGTGGAGCAGGTGAGCAGGGGTGCCAGACCAAGGCGGGGTGCTAGTCGCTGTCATCAGGGCAAGCCTCTGGTGGTTACTGAAAATTCTTTGCTCCCACACACTGCGGTCCCGCCCGGCGCTTGCACCTGCTGCCAGTGCCAGTCCCGCTCATACCTGCTGCCAGTGCCCAGCGCCGGCCCTGATTGCTCAGTACCATCAGCGGGTGCGAGTGGTGGCTGTTGGCCCTGATTTCCCCTCTGGGCTTCTCTACCTCCCCCTGCTCCTGAGGGGCAATCGGGCTGGCAGCTGCCTCTCGCACCTGCTGCCAGGGATGGCCCTGCTCGCACCTGCTGCTGCCACCTGGCGCCGATTTCGATTGCCCATGAGGGCTTCTCCACCTCCCCCTGCTCCTGAGGGGCAATTAGGGCAGCAGCCACTGCTCATACCCACTGATGGCATCTGCCCTGCTCGCACCTGCTGGTGGTGCTGGCCCGCTCACCCCCACAGCCAGCACCAGAGCTGCCACTCTAACCTGCTGCTGGCGCCCAGCACCAGCCCTGATCGCTCAGCGCCATCAGCGGGAGCAAGCGGCAGCTGCCGGCCCCAATAGCCCCTGAGGGCTTCTCTCCCTCCCCCTGCTCCTGAGGGGCAATCGGGCTGGCAGCTGCCTCTCGCACCTGCTGCCAGGGATGGCCCTGCTCGCACCTGCTGCTGCCACCTGGCGCCGATTTCGATTGCCCATGAGGGCTTCTCCACCTCCCCCTGCTCCTGAGGGGCAATTAGGGCAGCAGCCACTGCTCATACCCACTGATGGCATCTGCCCTGCTCGCACCTGCTGGTGGTGCTGGCCCAATTGCTCCACATCATCAGCGAGTGTGAGCAGGGCCAGCGCCATCAGTGTGTGGGAGCGGTGGCAGTGGGAGCAGGGCTGTTGGCAGACAGGGGACCAGGGGCCACAGTGGAAGGGGCTGGGAGGGGACGCAGGGGATAGGCCAAGACCCCCCTGTGCCCACCACAGCCTCGCAGCCTACAGTTCCTTTGAAAGTGCACAGATTTGTGCACTGGGCCCCTAGTCTATATAATAAAAGCCCAGTGACCCTTACAAACTGTGCCCACCACAGCCTCGCAGCCTACAGTTCCTTTGAAAGTGCACAGATTTGTGCACTGGGCCCCTAGTCTATATAATAAAAGCCCAGTGACCCTTACAAAGGAATGACCAGAACAACTGGTCACTATGATGTTCACTGACCACCAGGGGGCAGATGCTCAACGCAGGAGCTGCCCCCTGGTGGTCAGTGCACTCCCACAGCTGGAGCGCCACTCAGCCAGAAGCCGGGCTCACAACTGGCCAGCGCAGCGGTGGTGGCGGGAGCCTCTCCCACCTCCCTGGTAGCACTAAAGAGCAGCAAGCCAAGTAGTAAGGAGCAAGCAGGCAGGCGGTTAGGAGCAAGGGGTCCTGGATTGCGAGAGGGCGCAGGCCGGGCTGAGGGACTCCCCTTCCTCCCCTACCCACATGAATTTTGTGCATCGGGCCTCTAGTAGATTCAATTTTAAAAAGTCCAACCTGAACTCCATGGGAGAAATAAAAAATGCCCTTCATGCTGAAATGTCTGGGAATCACTGAGCAAAAAAGACACAGCACAAATCATAGAATATCAGTCACAAAACAATGTGTGCCTGAGGATCTGGGAGAAGGGCCATTGTACATGAATGAGACATTCAGGTGCCCACCTGCCCACTTCTGTTAAGGAAACACTGCCCTGCCCAGTGCCCTGTGGAATGGGACAGTCTGGATTTACTATAAGCTGTTGAGAAATCTCTAACCTGTGTGGCTGGGTCAAATTAATGAGGCCAAGGACCCAGCTGGTGTGGCTCAGTGGTTGAGGTTCAATTCCTGGTCAGGGTATGTGCTGGGGATTTTGGGCTCGATTCCCAGTAGTGGGTGTGCAGGAGGCAGCAAAAACAATGATTCTCACTCATCACTGGTGTTTCTCTCCCTTCCTCTCTCTGAAATCAATAAAAGCATATTTTAAAAAATGAGGCCAAGACTATTCAGTCATGTAAGGTGCACATGTAATCATCTAAGAATGCATTGAATCACCAGGTATTCTGAGAAAATTGTACGATTCCAGTTTAATTGGTCTCAGCACCAGTACTGACATGCAATACCAGGGACCCACCAGCAAGACAATGCACCAGAACTGGTGAGGAAGAGGCCTGCAGGAACACAAATACACCCCCAGCTCTGGCAGCGGGAAGGCGGCCACAGCGCCCTGCCAGTTTCTGTTAACTGTGGCATTGCTCTGGTTCCCATTCCCACTGCATCCATGCCATCCAGAACCCAGGGAGTGGGCCTGTGACCATTCTCCACATCTGGGAACAGAAGGAACAGAGGAAAGCTGGGCAGCTCTGGAGAGGCGTGTGGATGGCACTTTAGGGACAGCTTGAGCTTTCTGGGAGACACAGCCTGGGAAATTAACACGAAAGCTTCATCTAGCATTTGGAAGCTGGATGCTTGTGAAAGGGGCCGCGTGTGTAGAACAACTATTGTTAGCTCTGTTCCCAGAGCAGATTCTTCCTGCCCCATCCTCCTCCAGCTGGGGTGAGGGTGTTGCTGCTGGCTCTGTTCCCAGAGCAGATTCTTCCTGCCCCATCCTCCATCTCAGGGGCGCCCTGAACACCCAGCTGGGGTGAGGGTGTTGCTGCTGATGGTGGTGAGAAGGGGTGCGGGGGAGGCGAGACAAGGGTCTGGAGGTCTGTGGGCTGGGACTGCGGGGAGGGAGGTGGTCCACGGAGTGGGAAAGGTCTGAGCATCAGAAGTCCTTGCAATCCCGGTCCCAATCCCCTTCCAGCAAAGTTGAACCTAAAGCAGTATTTCCTCTTTGCTCATTCTTCCCGCACGGGCCGCCGCTCCCTCTGGCAGGATCGGAAGGCAGCTAAGGCGGGAGGCATCCAGGTAAGGCTGGGGAGGGAGTTCTCCGCATTGTGTTGGAGGAAGGCGTCGGGGATGAGAAGAATTAATCCCACGTGGGGAAGGCGGCCGGGACCACGAGGGAAAGGGAGAGGGACAGTGTACACTCATGCTTTTCATTACCCGCGGGAAGATGGATGGTGTTCACGGACGGTTGTCTAGGCGCCCGGGCTCGCTATAGGGAGACGTCAGAGCTCTCGGGTCCGCGGTGGAGGAGCCCCCGACCCCCCCGACCGGGCTCCCATATAAAGTCGGGGCTCGGCGAAGGCGGCAGCAGCGGCACGGACGACGACGGAGCTCCCCGAGGTCCTCGTCCTGCGGTCGCTCCTCGGTTTGGAAAGCGCACCCGGGAGCTGCCCGTCGGGACCATG